GAAAGACTAACAGATTTATTTGGGCATAAGCTTTCGTGGGTAAAAACCTCACTTCTTCTGTTAGTCTTTAAGGTGCCACCAGACTCCTTGTTGTTTTTGTAGATACAGACTAACACGGCTACCCCCTGATACTTGACACCATGTGGGTCTGATTCTCCTCACACTAGATTTACACCAAAATAACTCTCTTGGTTTCATTGGAGTTACTCCTAATTTAAGCAAGTGAAAAGAGAATCAGGCCTTCTATGTGCAATGGAGCCTCTCCAAGGACTTGCTGTGCCTTCCGTAATAGCTCTATTCTCAGCTTACTGTGTAGATAACAAAGACAAAATTCTACAGAGAATCCAGCTACAAGGAGGACTGTAACAAACAAGTCACTGAAGGTAATTTAGGATTCACATTTACCTGTAAACATGCAATGCATTAGTAAATTAATTTCCCACTGGACAAGCAAACACAGGATAAACACAGAGACTGAATTGTGTGTCATATTTAACAATACACTAATTATCATTTAAAGTACTTAGGTAAACACATGTGCCAAATACTGGGCTGCATTATAGCAGCTTTGCACCACATTTGCAGCCTGTGCTCTTTCTTCCACAGGCCTCTATCCTATGAGCTGTTTGCCCCCAAATGTCAGCTTCCCCATTTCCCCCTCCCAAGGCCACTTACTGGGTTCCCAAGGACACAGTGTGGCCAACTATCACAATTTCATCAGCAGTGGCATAATTTTGGTTCCTGCTGGAGCCAGTCGGGCAATGGTGAGAGAAGCTCCAGCCTTCATGAGATTTCTAGCCTTGCCAGCAGCCCTCACTGGCTGACTTCCCACCTCCTGGGGGAAGAACAGCTGATCAGAGCTGCTTTAGGAGGCAGGCAGAGCTCTTTCCTCTCCCAATCCCCCCGGGAACCCAGAAGTGTTTGGGTAAAGGAGGGGGGACAAGGTGCAGCAATATCATTTTCACAGGAAGGGTAGGTATAGGAGGGAGGGGAAACAGTCCAACAACTCAGCGCTGCCTCCCTGCTTCTCTCTCCTCTCAGGTCTGGAGCTGCCCTCTCTCTCTACCCCTCCGCCCCACACCTTGTCTCTCCACAGCTGCAGGAGGGGCAGAGTTGCAATGGAGGTAAGGGCAGTTTTGAGGTCTGGGGACACAAAATGAGCAGATGTGGGGATGAGGGGGCACAGAACTGATATGGGGATGGAGGGCAATGCATAATTAATTGAGGGGCTGGGGGGGGCACCGAGTTGATTGGCATTTGGGGGTTGGTGGAGAAGCTGGAAGGCCCCGCCCCAGCAGCATTTTATACCCATTATGTAATTTGATCTCTAACAAGAGCTCCTGCAAGAACAGCAGCAACAGAGAAGAGCCACGAGCATGATTAAAGGATTAGAAACGTGCCTTATAGTGCCAGACTGAAAGAGCTCAATCTGTTTAGCTTAACAAAGAGAAGGTTAAGTGGTTACTGTGGTGAGGAAACGCTCTGGCAGGGGGAATGCAGCAGAGAAAGGCTCCAGCAATGGGGAGCCGCAGGGAAAGGCTGCAGCACTGGGGAACTAGCAGAGCCTTTCCCCGCTGCTGGAGCCTTCCCCCACTACCTGAGTCTTTTCCTGTGGCAGGGAAAGGCTCCAGCAGCGGGATATCACACTGCTAAAAACAGTACGTAGACGGGGAGACGTGACTTGGGCAAGTAGAGAGCTACGTAGGGTACATGCTCTAGTATGTACCCTCACCCCTCAGGCATGTCTTTACTTGCCTAAGCCATGACTCATGATCCACACTGCTATTGATACTCATGCTAGGAGGGCTACATGTGTGTGTACACTACACTCTGCAGAAAGAAGCATGCAGGGTAGATGTACTTTACAGGGTCAGAAAGCTTTGCTATACCTCAGGAGTCGGCAACCTTTCAGAAGTGGTGTGCCGAGTCTTCATTTATTCACTCTAATTTAAGGTTTCGTGTGCCGGTAATACATTTTAACGTTTTTTACAAGGTCTCTCTCTATAAGTCTATATATAACTAAACTACTGTTGTATGTAAAGTAAACAAGGTTTTCAAAATGTTTAAGAAGCTTCATTTAAAATTAAATTAAAATGCTGATCTTAAGCTGCCAACCTGCTCAGCCCGCTGCCAGCCTAGGATTCCGTTCACCTAGGCTGGCAGCAGGCTGAGCGGGGTCTGCGGCCAGAACCCTGGCTGGCAAGGGGCCGGCAGCCAGAACCCCAGGTTGGCAGCGGGCTGAGCAGGGCCAGCGGCTGGGACCCCAGCTGGCAAGGGGCCGGCAGCCAGAACCCCGGGCCGGCAGCCAGAACCCCAGGCCGGCAGCGGGCTGAGCGGGGCCTGGGGCCGGGACCCCAGACCAGCAGCGGGCCAAGCGGCTCAGCCTGCTGTCGGTCTGGGGTTCCGTCTGCTGGCCCCTTGCCAGCTGGGGTCCCAGCCGCCGGCCCCGCTCAGCCCGCTGCCAACCTGGTGGTCAGGGTGGGGGGTGGGGATGTGGGGGGTGCAAGAGTCAGGGCATGGAGTGTGGGCGGGGCTGGGTATGTGTGGGGAGTGCAAGAGTCAGGGCAGGGGATGTGGGGGGCTGGGTATGTGTGGAGGGTGCAGGAGTCAGGGCAGAGGGCTGGGGGCATGTGAGAGGGTGCAGGAGTCAGGGCATGGGGTGGGGGGGCTGGGTATGTGTGGAGGGTGCAGGAGTCAGGGATGGGGTCATGAGGGGGATGCAGGGAGCTGGGGTGCAGAGGATGTGCATGGGGTCAGGGCAAAGGCCTGGGGGGGGTGGGCTGGGATCAGGGGGGTGCTCCCAGCCCCCTGCCCCTGAACGGCTCATGGCAGGGGGCTGGAGGGATACGCCCAGCTTCTACCCTCCTCCCCCTGCCTCTTCTCCGCCTCCTTACTGGTATGAGCAGCGAGGGCGCTGGGGCTGTTCTTCCCCCCTCCCTCGCAAGGGCCATCGGTGGCAGGGAGGGAGAGGAGACGGGGCTCGACACAGCACGCTGGGGGAAGAGACGGGGGAGGGAGAAGCTTGGCTGCCAGCGGAGCCTGCCCTACAGCAGCAGCCGGCAGGACCAAGCTTGCTTCTGCCCCCTGCCCCCGCCAGAGAGAGCAGTAGGCGGGGGGCGGAGAAGAGCGGGCTGGGTCGGGCAGGATTTTTAATGGCACGCTGCTGCCTGCCGGGGTTTGGCAGCGGGCTGAGCGGGACCCCGACAGGCAGCAGCGTGCCATTAAAAATCGGCTCGCGTGCCGTCTTTGGCACCAGAGGTTGCCGACCCCGTTATACCTGCTCTTTTCTACTTCTGCTGTAGCTTTCACATTTAGGTTCTGATACTGCAAACATACACACACGTGATTTCAGTGCACCTACACACCAGTAATATTACACATGTGCATAAGTGTTCACAGGATCGGTGTCTACATTTGCTGCTACAAACAAATGTAGTGGCCTAGGACTTTCTTTTAAACATCTTTAAGGTAACCAGTGTGCTATATTCCTCCCATAATGAAAACCTGACTGCATTTAGCATAGAAAAAAATTGTTGCATATATAGAATGAACCCTGGGTACCGAAAAATTATGGAGATACTATGAGATAACAAAACAAAGAATTAGTTAAAGAAAAAAATAAAAATAGAAAAATAGTGGGCCTGGAAGTCTGTTGACAGCATAACACACTGCCCCATGGATTACATAGATTTTAGAGTGCTTAAATGACCCCAATTATATGAAGTTTTTATATAGCTCCACTATAATAGAGCTCAAAGGATCTTATGATGAACACATCTGGTGTGTATCTTGCTAAGAAGGAAGCTCTCTAGCCAGTCCATTTCTGGTACAGGAACATGACATGGTGCCAGAAGTAAACTAAGAACAGAAACAGAAGGAAAACAGCAACAAAGGTTGCAAACAGAAGGAACAAAGCAACAAAGGTAACAGGATCTCATCAACATGCCATCTTCAATGCTCCAGAGAATGTCAGCTTTGACAAACCTTCAGAATGGACACACTGGAAGCCGTATTTTGCAAGATTTCACATTGCAAACAAACTCCACAAAAAACTGGACATATACAGGTGTCTTCTTTAATTTATTCTATGGGAAAGCAGGCAGAGCATATCTTTAAATCCTTTGACTTTACTGAAGACAGTCACAAAGATAACTATGAAAGGGCTCTGACTATGTTTGATGCACACTTTATACTTAGTAGAAATGTGGTTTGTGAAAGAGCATGTTTCCACCAGAGAATTCAAGAAATTGGGGGAAATGCTGAATGTTTTATAAGAGCTCTCCATGTATTGGCTGAAAACTGTGATTCTGGGATTGCAAAACATGAAAATATCATAGATAAGCAGTTTATTGGGTTAACAGATAAAAATCTTTCACAACTGAAAATAGACTTAACCCTAGCCACAGCTATACAGAAAGCAAAGCACTCCAGCCAATGGAAGCTGGGAGGGGCGGTGCCTGCAGGGGAGAGCCACGTGGATCCGCTTGCGCACCTCCACATAGGAGCTAGACCTGCTGCTGGCTGCTTCTGGGGCACAGTGCGGTCTGCAGTGCCAGGACAGGCAGGCAGCCTGCCTTAGCACCCCCTCTGCGCCGCTGACCGAGAGCTGCCTGAGGTAAGCCCATGCCCCAACCCCATACCCAGTCCTGAGCCTCTGCCCCCCAAATCCCTCATCCCTGGCCCCATCCCAGAGCCTGCATCCCCAGCCCAGAGCCCTGATCTCCTCCTGCGCCCCAATCCCGTGCCCCAGCCCTGCGCCCCCCCAAACCGAGACCCCTCCTGTACCTCAAACCCTCATTCCCAGCCACAGCCCCGAGCCTGCACCCCCAGCCCAGAGCCCTGATCTCCTCCTGCACCCCAAACCCTGCCCCAGCCCAGAGCCCCTTCCCACACCCTGAATCCCTCATTCCTGGCCCCACCCCGCAGCCCTCATCCCCCCACCCCAACCCTCTGCCCCAGCCCTGAGCCCCTCCCACATCCCAAACCCCTCATCCCCAGCTCTGTTGGGTTGCAGGCATCAACAATTTTCTTCAACTGGGTCACCAGAAAAAAAGTTTGAAAACCACCGCTCTATCTTGTGGGGGATTTTCTAGAAGAGAGGTGTAATTCTGAGGTAAAAATAGACATTGGTGACCCCAGAATGCATACAGAACCCCAGTACTCAGCACAAGTCATCACTGTGTCATGGACAGATGCATGCTGCAAGATCCTATTAACAATTGCCTGGACCAGTGGATACTACTAGTTAAAAAAATAAATAAATAAAGCAGGCATATACAACACCTCAAAAGGACAATGGACCACAGTAACCACAGACAGAGCAAAATTCTCTTGATATTGATAATACAGGAATACATATCACAACATAATGGTATATCACAATATCACTAAATGCATCAAGGGAGAAGGCATGTAAAGGAGGAACAAAATATAACTGCACGGTTAGCTTTTGCTTTGCCATCTTGCTAACACTGTCCTCAAAAGATAGGAATAAATGGTACATGGGATGCAAGATCAATTAGAATTGTGTGTGGTTTATGAATTAAGAAAAAAATGTCAATTAACCCTGCTTCATTTGCAGGTACCACTATACTCTGAATAGGATCACAAATCACATGAGTTTTCAAGTTACATCAGGTCAACTGAAACAGTCAACAGATATTATAAACAGTCTTGTAAACAATTAGAGAGGTAAACGTAGCATCTGAACTGTGGTGTATGTCAAATCCTCAGCTGCTGTAAATTGACATAGCTTCAATGACTTAAAAGAAATATTTTGATTTATGCCAGCTGAGGTGCTGCCTGAAAGCTTTAGAAATAATTAGTATGAGTGATATTGTTTCCCAGTAATATATTGATAATGACAGGTGGATCGGGGCTGGAGAAAGGTAGTATGGTTTATGACCTTGGGTTTTTCCTAATCTCTTCATCCCAATCAAAATCTAATGTGGCATCGTCTAAATCTGTTATTGAGAAGAGAGATTTTCCTGTGACCACATTTTTATTGCTGGCATTTCCCAGTCCAAAACACTTTCTTTTGCTGCTGGTGCTCTCAGAATGGGTCTTCAGAGGCAGTCCCTGGCTTTCCTTGCTGTTGCTGGTGACATTAAGTGACGGTGGATTTTCCGATTTTGATTCAGGAGGTGACATGAAGGAAAACCTGGCTAGTTTTGCTAACGTGCTGGAGCACACCTTCTTTGTGCTCAGGCCACCAGACATTTCCTCTCCTTTCCTGCTTTTCTCGGCAGTTGGTGTTAACACAGCATGTTGTCTAATATCTGAGATCTGTTTGGTCTCTGAGTGTCCAGTTGTAGCTTCTTTGATTTCTCTTTGTAAGGTTTCATTTTGCTGCTGCTCCTTTCTTTTATTATCAAGGGGTTTCTTCTCCAAACTATTGTTTCCTAAACTCGTTGTTAGCTTTGTCTGGTGTTTCGCAGGGGGATAACATTCTTCCTCTGGCTGCTCTTCTTCTGCTACAGTTCTCAAAATCCTGTGAGGCTTAAAAACAGCCTCTGATTGTGAGGGAGGCAATTCTGCATTGCTCTTATTTTCAGAAGAATGAACAAATTTTGTCCTTTGTCTGAATGAAAATTTAGCTAGTTTAGCCACTGGAGGTCCTTCAGTCTCAGTGATTTCCGGCTCATTGGAACCTGCTGCGATTGCTTCCTTCACCGTTTGGTCTTTATTTCTTTTTCTCATGGAAGTTATCTGCTTCTCAGCTACTACCGTCACATTATTCCTATTCTTTCCTATTGCACAAGCATTATTCATGTCACCTGAAGGAACTTGTGGGTCAGCTGCTGACTGGAAAGACAGTGGAGAAGGAAAGGTGTCTGCTTTGGGGTCTTGTGTACTTGCACAAAAATTGTGAGCTCTCTCTGTGCGCAATCTCTGCCACTTCTTAGAGACATGTTGTGTCACCACTGAATCAGGCACACTAACATTTTCTGAGGCTGGATCTTTAATATTTGCCTCAGAATAAAGGTTTGTATGTCCTTTTGTCCTTTTCTCATCAATACCAGAAACTACATCCTGTCTAAAAGTAGCATTGAGGTCCACAGTTGCCAGTGACTGTCCCATCCCAGTTTCTCTGCTTTGTCTTGAACCATTTTTTTCTTTAGAACAGGATTTGTCATTGAGTGTTTTCAAAGCCAAATTATCTAGAGGTCTCTTGGGGATTAGGGACTGCTGAACACTTTCTTCAGCATCCATGTTGCCATCTACCATGCTGTCAAACCAGGTCAAGCTGCCATCAGCTCTGCTCTCATTGTGTTTACTCAGGTTATTTGCATCTCTGTTTTTACCAGCTCCCTGGCTAGCTGAGGGCTCTAGATGTGTATCAGTTTTACTTCTCCCTTTGACCAAAGAATTTTGCTGTTTGCAGTTATTCCCTTGTTGGTCTGACAGTTCTGTCTGGGACATTTGCTCTGACTGCCAAAAGGTATCATCGCTTAAGGATCCATAGGTAGTATTTTTGCTGGTCTCTCCAGACTGCAACTGGCATGAATTTTCATTCTGTAATCTGTCCGATGAGGAGGAAAAAATATTTTTACAAATAGGTTAATTTTTCATTTTTCTTCCTTTCTCTCTTTTGCTGCTCCTAATATATAGCAGCAGCATAATAGAATCACTGTGTCCCATATATAACACTGGCCTTAGTGCAGCAATGTCTGATCTCCTTTTGCTCCTGCAGCAGATTCCTGCATTAAGTAGCAGAATCTGGCCTTCTTATTCATGGTAAGGAGTGCTTTTCTCCGTAAGGAGAACTATTTATGGAGTAATGCATTACTTAGCATGAGTAAGGGTGACAGAATTTGGTCCATACTTATTAAATACTAGCATTTACAACCATATTTGGTTCACTCTTGCAAATTGCCTGTGTACTTTGCTCAAACAAAAAGTGGATTTTAGTATGAAAATGTAGATTATTCCATTTGACAATGTAATTTATATTTAGTATTATTTACTTAAGTCTGTTTTTCTGCATGTGCATATTCTCTTTCTGGGTTATTCACAATGTGACGCACACAGTTAGATTTAGGCAAAAAGGTTACTGTTTTAAAGAGTAGATACATAACGTATCCTGATTATTACCCTGCATCAAGATATACCAACAAGTTCTAGAAGTTAACCAGAGTTATGGTCTTTGATTTCAATTTTTAAAAAATGGGTTTACAGAATCACAAATGCCTGTAGTGTTTATGAGCGATGCACCCTGCAGTGACACTTCCTAGAACTGTGATCTCATCAGATCTCATGCTAAACAGGGTGAAATCTTAGATGAGAGACGGGTATGGAAAATTGAGATGCTGCACGAAGAAGTGGCTGTTGATGATTCAGTAAATGATTCACTTCCCTCAGAGTCACTATGGAACAAATATGTTAAGAAGCTCTATAGTGCTCGGGGTGAAGCTTTCTGGATGCTCTGTAAAACCAGGTGCTCACCATTTGTGGTGGTTGTTTTCATTCCCATAGCTCATTTCGAAACAATAGGAGTGTTCTGGCCAAATATCAGTCTGGTTAATTGTATTCTGCCTAAACTCACCCATTTTAACAGGAGATACTATTTTTCTTCGCTTCATGTCCTAAATCAGTATTTTTATGCACTAATAAACAGCCATGTTCCATCTCAGAAGTTACTGCATTTCAGTGGTGGATAAAATAATTCCTATGTACCACATATGGCTTGTGTATCCTTTGAGACAGAAGATGCTATATAAATGTAAGGCATTTATTAATTATTATGTGGTTTCTCCAAGGTAGAAAGGATCTTAAAAAAAACAACCCAAAAAACAAAAAGTGCAGTAGCAAAATGATGTGAACTTTTTTCTACTTTAATACTTGCTATGGTCTCTTGGAGCCAGATCACTTTCATCTTCATTTCAGTTGCTTTTATTGCTCTGTATGCTTATTGGGAATGTGACTTACTCTGTGTTATAAAACAGAGCTGAACATTTTTCAAGGGAAATTCATATTTTCACAGCTGCTTTTATTCCTTTTAATAACATTAGTCTTTTATCTTTCTTTAATAAAAACAAGTATGTGTTTCCTATGGAGCTTGCTGTCAGTTCAGGAGACAAAAGTTATTTTTCTTTAAATTATTACTGCCTCACCTCAATAAGTTAAAAGGAGTTTTCTATTATTAAGTACAAATAGACTCTCCAAAGATTATACCAATGAGCTAAAAGCTGCTGACCATCCAGTGAGAATCTAAAATATTTTCAGTATCAAGAAAAATATATCACCCAAAAAAATAATTTTGATCCAGACTTATCACCCATTATCACAAAGAAAGGGATCCCAACCAGACAAACATAAAATAACCTTTTTTTAAAAAATAAAGCAAAGCTTGCTGTACTTTAAACAAACAGGAATCAAAAAGTTAATAAAATTAATCATTTAGCCACAAAGAGTAACTTTCTGACCTTACTGGAATTAGATTAAATTTATCTGGACATATGTTGAGAAATCATTCAAATGTTATTTAACCTTCCATAAATTCAATAATCCCAGAATGAAAAATGATCTTGTAATGATCTCAGTATGCTACTTTAAAAATCCCCTGCTTTTTCAACTCCACTGAAGGTCTCTTTCCTAAGTCAGGTTCTATTTTTAGAATCTCTTAGTACATTTATTGTCAGCAATCCTTTTACTCTATTGAATTCTTTGTTAATCTTCATATTATCACCTGTCAAGTCTTTTGAATTCTTCATGCAGAAGATTCTGCAGCTCCAGTCGCTCCAGGATGAGTTCACATTGCATTCGATACTGCTCCATTGGGTTTTCTGGAAATGAGGTATGCAGTGCATTGATGCCTCCAAGAAGTGCACCTCCCTGTGCCACCAGAAGAATGGAAACATCTTGGTTACTCAGCATCAGATTTTAACACCAAGGACAGTTTTATCTACAACCTGCCATTGGCTATTTTAGCACATGATGTGGCAAATACTTACCCAACAATTTTACTCACACAAGTAATTCCATAGAAGTCAATGGGAGAAACTCACATGGATAAAGTTAGGTACATGCATAAGTGTTTGCAAGATCAAACTCTTTGTTTATTATTATTATTACTGGGATTTATACAAAAAATATAAAGAGCATCTATCTGAGGCCCGAAGAGACAGTTTTTTTAGGGATTTTTAGTTGATAAAAATGGATATTAGAAAAGAAGTCCTCTGAATTCCTTATAAAAATTCTAAGTGAGTAACATCTATAACTGAAGAGATTGTAACTTTTTCACTTAGGTTATGTCTACACACAGGGCCGGCTTTAGCAAGAGTGGGGTCCGATTCCTGGGGGCGGGGCTTGCCGCAAGCCCCACCCCCAGGAATCGAGCCGCACTCCGGCCGTGTTCGCCGGGCTTGGGTCCGGCCCAGAGCCCCTCGGCAGCCGGAGCCGCGCTGCGCCGTGCTGTGGGGGCTGGGCCGGGCGGCCGGAGCCGAAGCCACGCCGTGGGGGCCGGGCGGCCGGAGCCGCGGGGGCCGGCGCGCTCGGCCGGAACCGGGGCCGGACTAGGCCGTGCCTCCCCGGAGCCCCCGCCACCCCGGGTTACCTGGTGCTGCCTGCCCGCCCTGCTTCTTTTCAGACTTCCTGCGAACCTCTGATTCGCGGGAAGCAGGGGAGGGGGAGGAGCGGGAGCGGAGCATTCAGGAGAGGGGAGGAGGGGGAAGTGAGCTGGGGGCAGGGTGGAGAGCTGCGGCGCGGGGCCCTCTTAGCGCGGGGCCCAATTCAGTCGAATTGGCTGAATCGGCCTAAAGCCGGCCCTGTCTACACAGGGATAAAAAATCCACGGCTGGCCCAGGTCAGCTGACTCAGGGTCGCGAGGCTCGGGTTACAGGGCTGAAAAATTGCTGTGTAGATCTTTGGGCTCAGGCTGGAGCCTGAGCTCTGGGACCCCGTGAGGGTGGAGGGTCCCAGAGCTCCAGCTCCAGCCTGAACCTGAAAATCTACACAGCAATTTTTAGCCCCATATCCTGAGCCCAAGTCAACTAACACAGGCCAGCTGCAGCCATGCCATGGGGCTTTTATCCCTGAGTAAATGTACCCTTAAAGGAGGAGAGGAACCCTGGTTGAATGGTTAAAACACAGGAATGGGAGTTCGAAGATTTGTGGTTTAGGGCTTGTTTATATGAGGAAAATTGACCTGCATAGCTATTCCGAGTAACTATTCCAGTATAATTTAGCTATTCCATAATAACTCCCCCATGTGGACACTCTATTCTTGAATAAAAGTGACTTTATTTGGAATAATTACTCTGATTGCTGCGTGCACAAGATGGACCTGCTCTCGGGATGAATCAGGGTTGTGTAGTAAAGGAGGCGGTTGTTTGAAGGACCTCTGCCTCATTTGTTGCAGAAGTTGGAAGGTGTGTAAGAGAAAGGTGGGTGTCATGGTTAAGACAATTGAATGCTGCCCTGGAGAACTGGATTCTGTCCTTTCCTGTGCCAGAGTTCCTATGTGATGCATGGCAAGTCATTTAAACCATACTTTTCATAGGTGGCCACTAATTTTGTGTTCCTCATTTTCAAGTTGTCCAACTTTAGAGTTTGGGGTTTGATTTGTAGAAGTGCTGAGCACTCACAGCTGCAAATAAAGTCACTGGGAGTTGTGCTTTGAACATATAAAGTGCCAAATAATGCCATGTACTCTGAAAACTCAGCTCTTAGATGTCTCAAAATAGGCACCCAAAATAGTGGATACTTTTGACTTTACTCTTTCTGTGCCTCAGCTCTCTATCTGTAAAATGGGGATAATACCACCCTCTCACCTCACAGGAGTGCTGTGAAAATTAATTAATGTTTGTGAAACATTCAGATACTAAAGTGATGAATGCCCTGGAAAATCCCAAGAGGAAATTAATAATTTTGTCTTCAGAGCAGGGTTTGAATAGTGTGCAGTAAATAAGGGTTAGGGCCACAGACTGAACAATGACAATACAACAACATATTGAATAGCTGCTCATTAAGTGAGCACTGTCCAGCCTGCATACTGAATGAGGCATGGGTGCTGTGGAAAAAATAGCATGTACTCATATAATTAAAGATGGTATCCTAACGCATATGCACAAGGGGGCCAAGTTAAGACAGCACAGGCCTAACTTCTGAGTGTTTGACTTTGCAACCTTAAAGTGTTCTTTTAATGTAGTGTTGTTGCGTGTGTGTGTGTGTGTGTGAATTGGTGTTATTTTTTGTTTTTGTATAACAGTAAATAGAATGTCACAGGATATAAGGTAACTTCCTGCTAATTTTCATCCCTTGGTCTTGTGCTCAAGCCTCCAAGATATTTGGTTTTCTAGAGTGCCATCTGCAGGGTAAGGAATGCCGCCCATCCAGCTGCCACATGGCCAGTCCATACGTTCAACACTTCTGATTGGCATTTATCTCTTTGCTTGATAGACACGTAGGCAGAACAAGAAGCAGAGCACCAGAGGTTCTCAATCACCCAAAGGAGTTAGCAGTGCTCCCAACAACTGGAGAACAGTGATGTGCACGTGAGGGTTGAGGAGCTGGGAAAGGAGACTGAAAATGAGAAGTACAAGGGGGAAATCGGAAACAAGGGAGAGGAGAAGGAGCTGGATAAGGAGTGGAAATCATGGAATGAAAGACAGAAGTAAGAAGGGCAGAGAGCAAACTTTGGAATAAATCAAGGCTGAGAGTAAAATGCGGGATGGAAAGAAGGACAGGCAAGACAACAGGAGGACACAGAGCAAGGGAACAGAATGAAACAAGAAGGAGAGGTAAGAGGAGGTGGACAAGAAGGCAGACAGACAGGGAAAAATAAAGGTGGAATAAAGGGTAAGGACAAGGAAATAAAAAGAGATGAGAACAACAGAGGCCAACCAGCCAGTCAGCTGCTCAAGAGGACCAGAAGAAATACATGACTACTGAGCTAAACACCATGACCCTTGGTTTCGCACTGAGTGGGGTATAATATTGTAGGAGTTACAAATGCAAGGCTTGATTCCTTCTTTGCAAAGCTGAAAGGTGGCAGCCGCCAGCCCTTCTAGAATTATTCAAACACCTGCTTGTTTCCATCACCCTCCCACACTCTAAAAATTGACAGTTGGAGAGAAAATAAGAAGGCTTTTGAGAGAAATTATATGTCTCTCACCAAATTCAATGGACAAAAGTGAAGAAACTAAAGGAAATCCCAACAAAACAGGTTGAAAAAGTAAGTAGCAAATGCTGTTGTTAACCAAGGGGAAAAAAAAGAGGGGAGCAGAGAACAAGATACTACTATAATTATAAGCAACCCTAATCATTTCCAGTGATTAGCATACAGAGAGAGATGTTCAGTACTACGGTGCTGTGGGCTAAGTTCTGAGAGAGACAGAGTGAGAGATTTAAACCATCTCAAGTACTGAATGAAAAAACAATGTATATTCTTTATTACTTTTTTCCCCAGGAAGGATATTTTTTCTTAAAATAAACTTTTTCTTGTTTGTTTTTTAGAATCTTTTAATAAAAATAAATAAATGACCCCCTTCAAGAAAAAGCTGTTACAAGGGAAAATTCACACATCACAGGTGGTTGAAAACACATGGCCCCCATAGTGGTCCTGAGGTATGCGGATAGTCGTCATATTGGGGTAATTATGAAGAGCGTACCAGCTAATGTCAAGCCCAATCCTTCAATCCTTCAGGCAAAACTCCCACTGACACCCACTAGACAGATGCTAACTATGCATTTCAGAACCCCTCAGTCAATCACACCATAAGGCTATGCATAAATAATAGAGTAATATACAATTATGAAACAATAACTTTACTTCCTTTCTGCACTGGATGAAAATTTGAGTGTAATGTGTATATTAATTTGAGTCTGTTATTTCATCAAATTGCAAAAAAAAAGGAGGTAATTGAAGATGGTCTTGTATATACAAAACTGTGTGCAGGATTTTTAACAGTACTGATTTAAAACCAGTATGCTGTCAGATTCTAATCTGGTTAATTATATCCTGTCTCCCTAACTTCCCACTGCAGTTTCATTTGAAAATGTTATTCTACATCACTTCTTAACTTACCTTTTGTGTAATGTTGCTGCATGCTGCTAAAAAGCTGACCTGTTCCAACCCCACTAGTGGCTGCATTTCAGCAGAGACTGTAGTAATCTTTCTACGCTGTATAGGGTCAGATTCTGTAGTTCTTGAAGAAGCAAAATTCCATTTGAAGCAATTGTGGGGTACATTTTCAAAGGCACAAGTGGCAATTACTCACCTCACTCACATTAAAAGTCAGTGGCAGGTCATAGATACCTAACTGCCATTTATGCCTTTGGATATCTACCTCTCTGAGGTTTGTCTGAGAAAAGACAGCAGTATCACAGCCATAGTCTATAAAATGGGATCAGTTCTGGGTCTGGTTCTGTTCAATATCTTCATCAATGATTTAGATAATGGCATAGAGAGTACACTAATAAAGTTTGTGCATGATACCAAGCTGGGAGAGGTTGCAAATGCTTTGGAGGATAGGAATAAAATTCAAAATGATCTGGACAAACTGGAGAAATGGTCTGAAGAAAATAGGATGAAGTTCAATACGGACAAATGCAAAGAACTCCATTTAGGAAGCAACAATCAGTTGCACACATACAAATTAGGAAACGACTGCCTAGGAAGGAGTACAACGGAAAAAGGTCTAGGGGTCATAGTGGATCACAAGCTAAATATGAGTCAACAGTGTAACACTGTTGCAAAAAAAGCGAACATCATTCTGGGATGTATTAGCAGGAGTGTTGTAAGCAAGACACAAGAAGTAATTCTAATCCACGCTAATTAAGCCTCAGCTGGAGTACTGTGTCCAGTTCTGTATGCCACATTTCAGGAAAGATGTGGACAAATTGGAGAAAGTCCAGAGAAGAGCAACAAAAATGATTAAAGGACTAGCAAACATGACCTATGAGGGAAGATTGAAGAAACTGGGTTTGTTTAGTCAGGAGAAGACTGAGGGGTGACATGATAGCAGTCTTCAATAACATAAAAGGTTGTTACAAGGAGGAGGGAGAAAAATTGTTCTCCTTAACTACTGAGGATAGGACAAGAAGCAATGAGTTTAAATTGCAGCAAGGACAATTTAGGTTGGACATTAGGAAAAACTTCCTAACTTCCTAAGCACTGGAATAAATTGCCTAGGGAGGTTGTGGAATCTCTGTCATTGGAGATTTTTTAAGAGCAGGTTAGATTAAGAGCTGTCAGGGATGGTCTAGGTCAGGGGTCAGCAACGTTTGGCACGCGGCTTGCCAGGGTAAGCACCCTGGCAGGCCGGGCCAGTTTATTTACCTGCTGATGCGGCAGGTTTGGCCGATCGCGGCCCCCACTGGCCGCGGTTCGCCGTCCTGGGCTAATGGGGGCGGCGGGAAGCCGCGGCCAGCACATCCCTCGGCGAACCACGGCCACGTGCCAAACCTGGCCGACCCCTGGTCTAGGTAATACTTAGTCCTGCCTTGAGTGCAGGGAACTAGACTGGAAGACCTCGGGAGGTTCCTTCCAGTCCTATGATTCTATGAAAATGCTTTGAGGTCCTTCTGCTTGAAATGTGCTACATAAAATGTATCATCATTTGTATATATGGTTTCTCATAGTCATGAGATACCAACCTGTACAAGAAAATGGGAAATGTAATATTAGATCAGACCAACGGTGCAAGAGACAGTCTCTGATAGAGCCAGTATCACATACTTCAGATGAAGGTGCTAAAAACCCCTCATGGATAATTTGGGGATAACCTGCTCCTAGGGGATGTTTCTTCCTAGCTTCTGTTAGTAGCTAGATTATGCCCTGAACCCTAAGGATTCATATTCCTTCAACAAATATCCTATCTAGTGTAAGCTCTTGGCCTGAATGATATCTTTTGATAATGAGTTCCAGGGGTTAGTTATGCATTGTGTAAAAAATATTTCCTTTAATTGGTTTTAAGTCTGTTGCCTTTCATTTTAATTGAATGTCCCCTTGATTTTGTATTATGAGAAATGATAAATAGGAGTGCCCAGTGACATTCTCTATACCATTCATTATTTTGCAAAATTTTATTGTGTTCCCTTCTCATTCATCTCCTATCCGAACTAAACACTGTGAACTATCATGCACTTTTAATGAAATAGGCAAGAATTTTGAGAAATAGCAAGAGGGTCCACATCATCTCCTCCCTGCTCGAAAATCAATGTTTCTTTGTCGAGATGGGTGGTCAGAAGAGCTGATGATGTACTCAGCAGAGTGGATTACCCCACAATTCAGTGCTATCACCCTTGCTGTTTAATGTCTACACAAATGACCAAGCAGAATCCCCTCATGTGCCAAGATTCATTTATGCTGATGCTCTTTGAATTGCCACTCAATCAGAAAGATTTGAGGATAATGAGCGCATTTTAACTGGCTCCCTGAGTGTGCCTGGAAAGTACTATTGCACATGGTTCCTAAATGCCAACTCCAGCAAGACACAAGTGTGCACCTTCCACCTGAAATACCATCAGGTCAAGTAACACTTCCAGATATTGTGGGATGGTACAGTCCTTGAGCACTATGAATATCTGGTGTACCTTGGGTCACATTAGACTGAATATTGACATTCAAAGAGCACGTAAAGAAGCTGAAAAAGAAAGTGAACTCCTAATACTGTATGTTCCAGAAACTGGCCAACACAAAATGGGGAGATGTTCCAAAAACACTCCATCTCAGTCTGTGTCACTAGACTGCAGAATACTGTACATCCGTATGGTCTTGCTTGGGCCATGCACACAAAACTGATATTGAACTCCGTCAATCCTGTAGGATCATCATAGGCACTTTGAAACCAACTCCCATGCTGTCACTATATTGCCTCACACAAATTGCACCAATATTTGTAAGATGGGATGTCTTCAGTAAAAAGGAGAAACAAAAACAGGTGCATGTGTCAAGACATCCACTGTTTGGACCCATTCAACCACACAAAATCCCACTGTGGAAGGCTACAGAGTAACAAAATGGCAGGAAATGCTGATGCTCTGGAAGAACCTGGTTCCTTTAGAACAACTCCCCCCCAGGGACTGACTTCAAACAAAACCAGTGATGTACTCAAAATGGAGTGAGAGCTGGGATGGCAAAGATGGTGACAATATGACAAAATGGAAGATGAGGAATGCTGTAAATATGAATGTGGAGAGCCTAGGCAAATACTTGAATACTGCCCGATGCAGTGCTACCTGTCAATAACTTGTTCTCCCAAAGAACTATTTGATATAAGCAACACCACCACGTCTTGGCTACAATTTTGGAGTGACAAACTATGATGATGACTAAATGTTCTGGGCCTGATTCTCATTTATGCTAAGTCCCTTTACACTGCTCTGGCACCTGTTAATCTTTCTAAAACTTTTTCAAACTCAACTTTTTTTTGGTTCTCACATATAATAGCTAATGTCTAACTGAAAAAATACAAGTGTCATTCATCCATCCATCTACAATAACCCAGTTTCTCAACTCAATTATATTTCAATGTCTGAATATCAAAATGGATTGTTCTCCAAGGAGATGGAGACAGTTATACATAGTAGTCTCCTTAAATGGATTGAATCATATAGCATGGGATTGTAGTAGTGTCATTGCCTATAAGAAAGCTTACCTGCATAGACGATTCCATCACTGAGACCACTGTTATAGCATCTTCCAAAGTTACAGTGTCCCTGAACATCAATCGAGCATGGGCTAGCAAAAATAAATAAGCATTAAAAAAAAAATGTTATTGAAGTTGAAAAGCATTTGTTTGTATTAGCAACCAGAGGCTAACAAATTCAGGCCTGATTCTGAAAACATTTACGCATGTGTTTAACTTTAAGCATAAAAATAGTCCCATTGACTTCACTGTCATAAGTGTCTGCAGAATTGGGAAAATTTAACTCCCCTTATTAGAAATGAGGTGTGTCTTCTGGATTAGAGATTCAATGACAATTTGAAGGAATTGGAAGAAAGAAAAGCAAAAGGCTATATTTAAACAACTGTAAGGTGTTCAGATACCATGATGATAAATGTAGTATAAAATAATATTTATCTATCCAAATGTCTTGATAGCAACACAAACTAACAAAAAGAAGGAAATTTAAAATTAAAGCTAACCTTTCATTCTGCGTGACAAAAGACATGATTTAAGCAATAGTCCGCACTTTGCATTTCCTTCCTTTTGTTGAAAGTTTTTTTTTCTCTTACTTAATTGGCCTCTCAGAGTTGGTAAGACAACTCCCACCTGTTCATGCTCTCTGTATGTATGTATATATATCTCCTCAATATATGTTCCATTCTATATGCAGCCGAAGATGTGGGCTGTAGCCCACGAAAGCTTATGCTCTAATAAATTTGTTAGTCTCTAAGGTGCCACAAGTACTCCTGTTCTTTTTGCGGATACAGACTAACACGGCTGCTACTCTGAAACCTTCCTTTTGTTGGTGTGTGTCACAGTCTTAATGTTATTTAAACGTGTTTTTTCCATATTATTTTTTTCTCCTGCTTTGCTTCCCATAACCACCATTACCCAAAATAGAATAAATTTTATGAATGGATATAATGCAAATAATTCTCCATACTATGCCATTCTGATTGGTTGTGTAATTATGCTGTTGGACAGTTATTTTTAAGCAAGAAAAATGGTACTTTTGTATAACACTTTGCAAATATAAAGTGCTAGTTAAGGCCCCAATCATGCAAATGCATACTTATGTAAAAGACTTTATAACATGAATAGCATGAAAGTATCTGCAGGATAAAGGCTTTAAATGATAGGAAAGTTTACAAAACAAAACAAAAACAATCCCTCTCTCCTCCCCCCCACACACAAAGAAATTCAAATAGGAACAACTGACTAATAAAAGAGACATCTTTGACAAAATAAAACATCACTCTGGGCTGAAATTTGTTATACAAAGTTACTGTATGTTCTTTTAAATTCATTTTTAAAAACTGTTAAGCCATTTTAAAGGATAAAAGAGCACTACCCTAGATATTTAACACTTCCTTTATTTTTTGTTCTTAAAACTCAAATACAGTTTTGATTTTAAAGTGAAATTTCGTAGCATGTTAGTACACAATGTGGACTGCATTCTTGGTATTTAAAATGAAATAAATGAAATGTTTATTTTTAGTAACATTATGAGATAGTAAGGGCCAAATCCTTACACCTTTCTTATGCCTTCCTCAGGCAATACTCCCTCTGGCTTCAGAGAGAGCAGGAGTGGGGTGTGATTGAAATGTGCAAGATTGGACCCAAAATTAAAGAAATAAAGCCTGAGACAGGCATTAAGTAAAAACCATGTGATTTATGTAATCCTTTACTTTTTTAGAGTGCTGTGCAAATATTAACTAATTAATTAATCCACATTTCTTGCTTAAAAATCTCTGCCTAGAAATATATTTACACAATTAGCTACAATGGACATATGCAGCTTTATTAGATTTATAAAGGAGCCAGTCATTGTGGGCTCATTGGGATAACTGACATCATGTGCCAAGTGTTTGCAGTATTGGGTCCTTAATTATCATTACTCATTTCCCTCTAACTTAACTTCTTACACTGGTTTAAATTTTTTTGGGGAGGAATATAATAAATTAAAATTCAAACTTGTTTTGTATATCTAAAAACCCCACAAAACCTATAGGTTCACTAATGCTAAAACTCCAGGAGGTTCATCCATCCCTAGTTTAGCTGGAAGGTCACTACTTAACCTATGAACTATAATTGCACTTCTAATGTGTCCATTTAAAAAAAAAAAGTTGGGCAGAAAAACAAAAACTGTCATGTGCTCACCTTCTGCTAAGCGTATCAAACTCTCTAATAAGCGAATGGTAGTTCGAGCAGCATTTCTGCAATCACTCTGCCGCTGCATCTGGTAATAACGGACAAGAATCAGGTTGCTCTCATCAGACAATTTTGGCTGTAGATTCTTTATCAGACAAAAGTAGGTTTTCATCTTTTCCATGCTCCAGAGGTTTTCTGATTTGCTTGGGCATCCTGCATAACAAGTGCTCAGTCAGTAACTTCAAAACAATGACAGAGATAAAACGCGTTCCTAAAGATTCCTGTTAAATAGGTGAATGAATGTAAAATGAGGTTTTATTACATTTTGAGCAGAAAGGGACTATCATTCTCTTAGCTCATCTATGATTTGGCCAAATTCCAGAGTGGGTTATTACATTCTATCTGTTGGGTTTCCCTCCAAGACCTTTTCCACTCAGCTTATCCAAAACACCTTGTCCAGCATGTCACTCAGGTTCTATTTCCTAGCTCCTAACATCTATACTTATTTAATTGAATTGATTTGGACATCACAGGGTTCATGTAAGAACCAACTGCTTTGCAGATTGTGTAAGGACTTATTGCTGATGTCCTCACCTTAAGACATTTCAAGCTTATCAGTTCAAGGTGTTCACACTTACCTAGCCCCAAAACACCATCTCCAGTCCACAACCTGTCACATCCTTGTTTACAGTTTAACCTTGCACTCAGATCAAGCTACATGCAAGTTTACTCATGCCCAGCATGATCTATGCCTTCACTACCTACCTAATTTTCCTACTGTTTGTTCATATTCTGCTGAAAGTTCTTGCCCTGAACTGTTTTGTAATATTGCTGTGTTTCAACCCAGGCTCCAACATCCAATCCTGCTCCTAGTAAAGTCAAAAGCAAAGCTCCCATCAATTTAAATGGGAGTAAGATCAGGCTCACTGTTTATCAGCTTGTTCAGTCTGTAAAACATCCAGGTATCTTTTGAGATGAAAAGTGACACATAAATATATGATTATCTCCTCGAGCTATCTTACATATTTTATAGGGCCAATCACTATGTGTCAGATGTGGCACAGGTGTGCACTGGAGGAGAGACTGCAAGAAGATTTTCCTCACCTTTTTATTTATTTATTATTATTACTGTAGCACCTCAGAACTCCAGGCATGGACCTGGATCTCATTGTCCAAGACACTGTACAAACACAGAACAAAAAGACAGTCTTTCTCTCAAAGAGCTTACAGTCTTAAGTATAAGACAAGAGACAACTGATGGTACAGACACATGGGGAGTACAAGGAATACAGAGACAATATTGTCTAAATAGACAAGATAGGGTAGAGGAAGAGGGACAACAAACAAGCTGAGTGAACAATATGAGGGCAGCAAATGCCATGTTAGTTCCACTTTTACTTTGTAGGGTATGTTACTTCGTAGGGGATCAGCTAAATGGAAAGGGAAGGGAAGCGGGTGTGGAGGACACGGTAGAAGGGGCAGGCATGGAGTGAGGCCGATTGAAAGTTGTCACCATCTGACAGGTGTTTAGTAATCTAGGTCAGGAGTTCTCAATCTTTTTCATTCTGAGGCCCCCTGCAACATGCTATAAAAACTACACGACCCACCTGTGCCACAACGCTTTTTCCGCATATAAAAGTCAGCATTGGCATTAGGGGGTAGCAAGCCGGGAAATTGCCTTGTGCCCCACGCGTCCTGCAAAACTAAGTTGCCCAGGCTTCAGCTGAAGCCCCAGGTGGCAGGACTCAGGGTCCCAGGCTTCAGCCCCGCACAACAGGGCTTCGGCTTTCTGCCTTGGGCCCCAGCAAGTCTAACACTGATCCTGCTTGGGGGACCCCCTGAAACCTGCCCGCGACCCCCCCCAGAAGGCCCTGGACTCCTGGTTGAGATCCACTGATCTAGGTGACAGGGATTGGTGGTCTCAGTCCTATTCCTAATGGACAGGCAACCTCATCACAACCAGCACAACTGACACCGTGCATGAAATCAAGGATCAAATGAAAATAAACTGAACTACGCTTTCAGTCACTGAAGTGGTCACTCCAAAACTGGGCTGTAGAAGATTTGGGAAAGGTCAGTGGGCAGAAGAAGCTTTATATACATTCAAAGAGTCTATTCTTACCTTTGTTTTCCAATATGAAAGAAGAAATTATGCGATCCCAGTCTTCATTTCTCGTATCTAGCAATACTAAGACCAGGTCAAATCTGCTCAATAAAGGACTGCCAAGGGCTATGTTCACGGAGATTGATTCATTAGGGTCATACTGGCCTTTTGGATTTGTTGCTGCCAATATAGTGGTTCTTGTGTTCAGCTTGCACACTAAGCTAAAGACAAAGATGATGAACATCACTATTCCATGTCATTGGATATAGAAAATAATTTTTGAGTAAAATATAAATAATCATATTTTATGTTTACATAGCACCATTCATAGAATCGCTGGTTTGTTCTTGACAAATCCATGCTGACTGTTACGTATCATCTTATTATCTTCTAGGTGTCTGCAAATTGATTGCTTAATTAATCTTTTCAGGTGTTGAAGTTAAGTTGACTGGTCTGTAATTCCCTGGGTTGTCCTTAGTCCCCTTTTTATAGATTGGTACTGTATATGCCTTTTTCCAGTTCTGTGGAATCTCCCCATCTTCCATGACTTTTCAAAGATAATCGCTAATGGCTCCGATATCTCAATTCAGGGTTTATATATATATATATATATATATATATATATATATATGCTGTTCCTATGGCTAAGCGTTTTATATCTTTTTCTACACTGAAAAAGGTATTTTCTCCTTGAATCATGTTGTCTTGGCTCCTGTGTTTTTAGGTGCAGTGGGACACTTTTGTCCCAGTAGTCACAGCACAATCCTTTCAATTAAGGCAACAGAAGAGTTATTCTAAATTTGGTTTATCACCAAGCTATTTCCAGTCGGCTCCAGGCTAGCTGCTACTTCATGTCCAGAACCTGAATGTAGGTTAGAGCCAATAATCTTAGCTTTCCGATTTACAGTATACACGACAAGAAAAGAGCATTGGCTCCCAGCCAGTACAAAGAGAGATTAAATGAACAAAGCAACATTAACTTCTCTATGTAATGTTATAATTATTTGAAAATTCCTAAGTAAATACAGTGCTTTTTAAAGCAAGTGACTGAAGCTTTGTGTGCTGAGAGCAAAACTGTGTTCTAAGTTCCCATCTACAAAACAAAATCAACTATATCAGGGGATCCAGTTAAAACATGGATCCATTTTACAAAATAGATTGAACCAAACCATAGCAAGTCCAAGTCATTAGCATGGTTCAAGTACATGGGGAGTTCCTATCCATACTGCTGGAATAGGTCATCAGGACAAGAGGACTTGTAATGGCAGACTTTCAGACTTGCACATTTGTTGTAGACAACATCCTCATGAGCGGATACTTGGCATACTGGGGATATTGTATGGCCCTACTTTATTAAAACTGCTCATATAAAAATAGCATAAAAAACATAAATATGGAGAAAAAGTTGAAAACAGATTCAGTGTTAGGTCATTGGATTAAGTTAAATACCATTCTGAAGAGTGTAATTGTTTAGGTTGACTGGGCACCCCCCTCCCCTCCCCAAAAAGCAACAGTGGTGAGCCAGGTTTCCCCTCCGCTTCAGTCCTCCCACAGTTTGGATCAGAGGGCTGCAGGGGAGGGAGCCCCAGCACACCTTAACTATTCCAAAAAGGAGCAGCCACGCTACCTGGTTGGAGTTGCCCATATTGAATTAAATACGGAAATGAGCCACTCTGTCCCCTTGGTTTATGTGTTTTGAAAGTGAAGTTCACTCTATTCTACTCCGCTCCTAAGTTTTAATGTTTATTATGCTACGGATTTTTCACTGACAACAAACACACAGTTACCTGTGAGACGTTGTCAGAGGGGACACTGGAGGTTTTGGCAGCTTGGCAGAAGACCCCAGAAGACATGGAACACAGTTTGGGATTGTGAGATAAAGGTAGTTAGCTGTACGTTTCTGCAATGAAGTGGTTAACAGTGTTGAAATTTAAGTTCATTGGGTTTCAGAGGGTTAGTTTTGTGAATGAGGCAGTCTGTTCTTGATTTTCAGATTTTTTGGGGGTGGCTGGGGGCTTATTACAACAATCTGTATCCACTAACCTCCCTTTTTGTCCTGTGACTACAGGCCACTTAATGGCCACTTCACCTTGAATGGTCCCTTAGAAAAAGTGCTAATTACCTATGCTAAACTATCTGTTCAATCTTATATTTAGCTGTGACACCCTCAGGACCTTTCCCAGACCTGAAGAAGAGCTCTGTGTAGCTCAAAAGCTTGTCTCTCCCACCAACAGAAGCTGGTCCAATAAAAGATGCTACTTCACCCACCTTATCTCACAGATATTTTTCAGTCTGTTTCCAGGCTTAGACAGAAATTAATCATTTTATACTTGATTCACATTTGGAAGGCAACAGTCTGGACTAGAAACATACGGATCTATTCTCTGCTATGTTTGTTACATTAGCTACGGGCAGTTGTGCCTGTGTAAGGTTAATGTAAAGCGGGACTTGCCCCTAGTGAACTGTGCCTGCGCACTTCTGAGGTGATTTTCCCCGTCTGCACAGTAGGCAGTTGCAGTTATGCTGAAAAGAACTGTGAACTGAGCTGTAAGCTCCAACATGGGTACAGATTAAACCAGGGGTCGGCAACCTTTCAGAAGTGGTGTGCCGAGTCTTCATTTGTTCACTCTAATTTAAGGTTTTGCGTGCCAGTAATACATTTTAATGTTTTTAGAAGGTCTCTTTCTATAAGTCTATAATATATAACTAGACTATTGTTGTATGTAAAGTAAATAAGGGTTTTAAAATGTTTAAGAAGACTAATTTAAAATTAAATTAAAATGCAGAACCCCCCGGACTGGTGGCCAGGACCCGGGCAGTGTGAGTGCCACTGAAAATCGACACGCGTGCCATAGGTTGCCTACCCCTGGGTTAAACCAAACGGGAGGTGGTTAGCAGAAATCCACAACCAGGACCAAGGCAATATGTTTAGCGATTCATTAACTCAGAGAAGGTTAGTGCACCAGATGGTGAAGTAGGTGTGTTGGCTTGCTTTTGTAAATAGAATGAGATCAGTGGCTTACTTGGCTTAGCATTTGTGGAAGAAGCAAGTCTTGAGGAGGAATTTAAACGAGGAGAGGCCATTCAGCACACAGCAATATGGGAAAAAACCCTGGAATGGTTATGGAAGAAACAGATGAATGGGGTCTCAAAGTTGTTGTCATTGGCTGAGGATGTGGGGTGCAGGAAAAACTAAAAAGAGACAGGGGCAAATAAGGAGGGAGGGACAGAGCCTAAAGTGCCTTGTGTGTGGGGGGGGGGGGGGGGGGGGCGCGAGGCAAATAGCTTGAATTTGATGTGTGTGGAAAAGGGAGCGTCAGTGGAGATATTCAAAATAGGGAGTCGGTTTGAAAGGCCAAGAAGATGTGGATATCAGGATACCAAAGAGGAGGAGATTATGGCAATCAACACAGGAGACGATTTGGGCCTGGACAAGAGTTGTGTGTGACTAGACAGGAAGAAAAGGTTTGATTTCAAATATATGTTATGCAGGAAAAACCAGCAAGATATTGGACACAGTCTAGATGTAAAGAGAAAGGGAGGAATTAAAGACTCCCAGGTTCCAAGCATTAGTGACAGGGAGAATGGTGGTACGTTCATCAGTGACAGAGAATGGGAGGAAAGTTTTGGATGAAAGACAGGAGACCAGATTATCTGCAGTGGCTCTATGTCTTCATAAGCCAGACCATTTGTACGCAAGTACCTAAATTTAGGGTTTAGGAACCTAACTTTAGGCATCCAGGTTTGACTTTTTTGTGTGTGCATAGTCTGCTGGCACCAGAATCTACAAAGGAGATCAATTGGTGCCCTCACCTCAGATAGCAAGGTCACTTAATTGCAAGGTCATTCTCCAAATTTAACTCCTCCAGCACCCTGCAGTCCTCAGATTCTGAGGTAAATGCACTCTTTCAGTATGTCTGCATGTCTTGTCAAACAATGGTATTTTCTACATAGCTAAGAATTTACTGCCTCATAAACCAGCTAACGGATTTCAGTTATGTAAATAACTCATTTATGAGTGGGCTCTTTAAGAAGACCTACCTCCTTAACCTCAAGTTCTGGATAAGATAGGATAATAGCAGGACCTGAGGAGGCAGGGATAAAGGTGGATTAAAACCAGCTTTGTATCCCTCCACCCCCCAAGGCTGAGGACAGCTATGGGCCAATTCAGTCCCTGGTGTAATTTAGAGCAGCCTCAAGACTGCTCTAACTTACACAGGCAGCCACAACACCCTTGAAGCCTTTCTGCTGGATCAAGATCACTGGAATGCAAAGTGATCCTCCCACCTCCTCCCACCCTTGACACATCTGAACTGGAGAGAGGGTGGGATAGAACTGGCTATCCTGGCTCTGTGCCAGCCAGAGATTCTGCTACTTTAGGGAAATCTCCAGCTGTTCCATTAGGGAGGCTGTCTGTCTCCTTTGTGGACAGACTGAGGATTTGGCCAGTAGCTTCACTTGCCACAGAATTAAAAAATCTAAGTTTTCAGAAGTAGCATATACCATTTTCCCTTCACAGGTTAGTGGCCAGTAGTCTCTTTCATGAGATGGGCCACCATATAAAAACAAGTAGCCTGGGAATTGCTCCCTCTTCTTTTGCTGCTTGACTAATTATTTGCCATTCATGGAGGAAAAAGAAAAAAGTGTTTTCAGTCCTGGCTTCTGAACTGCAACTCACATTTTAAAAAAATGCCTCACTCTCCACAGTACCCCATAGCCCACCACTCTCCAAAACACTCTTCTTAACATGCCCTCTTCATATGCAATGGCCAGATTTTCCAAAGATGATGCAGGGGATCCAAAAGTATTTTATTCATATGCATCCATTGGTCCATTGCACCCGCCTTTGAAATTTTGACTCATAGTTTAAGAGTATCTTTTAAAACAAAAATGTATAGTACGGTATAGGAAAGATTTAAATTGGTCAGAGGGGCAAATCTAAATCTAACATTCATTTTAATATTTCGGAATTCAGGGGAAAGATATTTTGTTATTTCATCACATGCATTTAAATGCCACTTACCCTGCCTTAGCTACACTGATGGTTTGTTGCTCCATTGCTTCATGTATGCTGGTTCTGTCATGTTCCTTGATGCTATTAAACTCATCAATACAACAAAGACCTCCATCTGCAAGCACGAGTGCTCCAGCTTCCAAATTCCATTCTCCAGAATCCTTCACCGCAGTTACCGTCAAACCTGAAGAATATTTATTTACATTCAGTCTTTTTCAAAAATGTGTGTGTGCATTTGGGGGGGGGGGGAAACGCGGATTAAATATACTAGCTAGTGCCAGGAAGAGAGAATGCAGGCAATGTGCAAGCTTCAATGCAGAGGTCTGCTAAAGCACCTCAATTCAGACCTACTGGTACGACATCCCATCTATTATAGTCCAGGTAATGGTCTGTGGAGCAAAATCTGCCAAGCATGCCAAATTTTGAGGTGATGGTTTTATGATATGAACAAATTTACAAAAGGAACTAAATTCGTCGAGTCAAGCAAACTCAATGATATTAGCAAAGTTATACCAGGAATACATCTGACCCACTATCAACACTTAAAGCATATATAAGCCTCAAAAGGCCATGCAACAAACTCTGCAAAATAAAAATATTTTAACATATCTTTTAACAGAGACCCACTCCCCAGTTCACGAAACAGAAGTGATAGACTAAACTTCGAACTTGTTCTGACAGAGTTTCTCTTTGATTTTTGGGTTCATTTGAACATTAAATTTAAAGTGAAACCTGAGAGTGGAAATGCATGGGAACTAAAACCAAAGAAAAAGTTCCCCAAAGCATCTGCAAATGGAAACTGCTGATTGTGACTGCTGTAATTAAGTCTCACAGCTCTGAGTGCATGAAGAGTTTGAACTGCTGCCTGACCTGTTTCTTGTTTACATATCAAGACTATTCAATTTTCACTTTCTCCAGTGAGTCAGTTTTTTCTCTGATACAGTAGTTAGTTCTGAAAAGGAGTTAACTTTAGGACAATGGTACTAGTAAGTATTTATGTAACATTTGGGATTGCAGCTACAACTACTAGAATGGCCATCCATCCTTAAACATCTGCAACTCCCCTTCTCCCCTTCCCTGATCTCTATCTGTTACCTCTTCTGTCTAGTTCCCCTAGTTTCTCCCTCTCCAGCTCTTTTTTCTCCACTCCATCACTGCTTGAATTACAAATGGTCCTATGACCCACACTCCATAGCTCCTAAAGATGTTATGGAGTGCTAGGGCCACATCCAGTCCAAAGATCCTCCCGCTAGGACTGCAATGGGCCCAAAGACCTTAATGGAGCACTGGAACCAGAAATCACAACCTTTTGGCTGGTGCACAGTTCTTGTGAGTGCAATTCTGTACTCCCAATAGTCAGTGAAGAGTCAATGAAAATGGAAATTTCTTACTGACATATTGCATGTTTTTTAGGGAGATTCGCTAAGATGAACCCTAGTTCTCTTGGGTTTTAGTTCACCGATCTAACCGCAGGACAACGTAGGCAGTACATCACCTTGCTGGTTTAATAGCAGAATTACAAAAACCAAAATAAATTCTAGCCCTGTGATAGATAGGTATAGAACAGGGGTGGGCAAACTACGGCCCGTGGGCCACATCTGGCTCGTCAGATCATTTAATTCGGCCCTCAGCTCCTGACGGGGAGCGGGGTCGGGGGTTTACCCCGCTACGGTTCTCCAGCCGGGGAGTGGGGTCGGGGGCTTGCCCCGCTTCACGTGGCTCCCAGGAAGCAGCCGGCATGACCCCCGCTCCGGCTGCTACGTAGCACGTAGACGTGTGGCCAGGCGGCTCTGCGCGCTGCCTCGTCCGCAGGTGCCGCCCCCACAGCTCCCATTGGCCAGGAACTGTGGCCAATGGGAGCTGCGGGGGCGGTGCCTGCGGACGGGGCAGCATGCAGAGGCGCCTGACTGCGCCTCGGAGCTGGAGGTGGGACATGCTTCTGGGAGCTGCCTGCGGTAAGCGCTGCCCGGAGCCTGCACCCCTGAGCCCCCCTGCGCCCAATCCCCTGCCATAGCCCTGATACCAATCCCACCCTCCAAACCCCTCGATTCCAGCCTAGAGCCCCCTCTTATACCCCAAGCCCCTCATCCCCACCCCCACCCCACAGCCCACACCCCCAGTCAGAGCCCTCCCCCCCTATGCCCCAACAACCTGCCATCCCTGATCCCCCTCCTGCCCTTTGAACCCATTGGTCCCAGCCTGAAGCACCCTCCTGCACCCCAAACCCCTCATCCTTGGCCCCACCCCAGAGCCCGCATCCCCAGCTGGAGCCCTCACAACCCTCGCCTGTACCGCAACCTCCTGCCCCAGCCCTGATGCCCCTCCTGCCCTCAGAACCCCTCGGTCCCAGCCTGGAGCCCCCTCCTGTACCCCAAACCCCTCATCCCCAGCCCCACACCAGAGCCCTCACCCCCGTCCCCAACCTGCAGCCCCCTCTCGCACCCTGAACTCCTCATTTCTGGCCCCACCCCAGAGCCCGCATCCCCAGCCAGAGCCCTCACCCCCTCCCGCACCCCTACCTCCAATTTCGTGAGCATTCATGGCCCGCCATACAATTTCCATATCCTGATGTGGCCGTCAGGCCAAAATGTTTGCCCACCCCGGTATAGAAAGTACTAGTGAACACTGATCACATATTCAGTACAGCAGTGGTTCTCAAAGCCGGTCCGCCACTTGTTCAGGGAAAGCCCCGGCGGGCCAGGGTGGTTTACCTGCCGCGTCCGCAGGTTCGGCCGATTGCGGCTCCCACTGGCCACGGTTCGCCGCTCCAGGCCAATGGGGTCTGTGGGAAGCGGTGCAGGCTGAGGGATGTGCTGGCCTCCCCGCAGCCCCCATTGGCCTGGAGCGGCGAACCGCGGCCAGTGGGAGCCGCGATCTGCCGAACCTGCGGACGCGGCAGGTAAACAAACTGGCTTGGCCCGCCAGGGGCTTTCCCTGAACAAGCGGCAGACCGGCTTTGAGAACCACTGCAGTACAATATAATTTCTTTGTAAATACAGATCAAGACTGCCCCCTGCACTGGAAGAACGTACAGGAGAGAGCCATCTGAGAGGAAAACTCACTGTGATCTCAGGGATCTGCTGAAGACCACAGGCTTCCACACAGAATCTCTGTGCCCCAGCACTGCCCTCCAGCCCTCTACAGCTCTGCTGTGGCTCCCTGTCAGCATAACTCAGGCTTTCCAGGCAGGCAGTAGCCCCTAAAACACTGTCTTACATAGACACTCTATTACACTCAAGAAATTAATTAATTAATTTTCAGAAATTAATACAGTCTGAGTCTGTATTTAATTGAGAGTAGATTCCCCATAGAGTTGAGAGAGACAATTAGCATTTCACCCAGCCCTGCCCATCTTGTCCCCTCCCCAGCCACAGATCTCTGACCTTGCCAGCTGCTCTCTTCAGAGGCTGGAGATAAGAAACCTGGTGCCACAGATCTGGGTCACTGCCCCATCCTCCATATGCAAACAGTGAGATCTTCATGCAGAAGGCCCCTTCCCCATGGACCTTGAGGGGATGTTCAAGCCCATTGTACCTCACTTCCTGATTTATGATTTCACCTTAAAGCATTTTGATTTTTTTCTACACATCTAAGTATGCCATGGTGGTGAGCTGTGGGTAATGTAGGTTGCTTCTGGCAGAACATGCTTGTGCAATAGCTTTCCTAAAGCTGAGATTTCTCTAGGTACTTGAATGAGGATCAATTCCGTTTAAACATTAAGGCTCCAAACCCACAGTGAGCTCTGTGCAGGCTGCCCCGTATGCCCACGGTGGAGCTCATTGTAGGATCACGGCCTATAACAATTATTCTTCCACATCCTCATAAACTAGCATCCCTTTTACTGAAAAGCCATTTATGGAAAGCATGCCCTGAAACATAACATAAGCTTGATCCCACAGCCCTTTCTCACGTACTCACTAGTCAAATGAACAGTGCCATTGACTTCAATGGCTTTAATTGTATGAGTCCTGGTCTACAGTAGGAATTTACTTCTGTATAGCTACATCTCTCTGGGGTGTGAAAAATCCACACCCCCGAGAGACCTGGCTCCTGACCTAACCCCTGATGTAGACCAGGGCTAGCGTGTGCTACTGCTTCTTGGGGAGGTGGATTACCTACACTGACAGGAGAGCCCTCCCATCAAGCATAGATCGTATCTACATTGAAGGACTACAGTGGTGCAGATGCAGCATTTTAAGAGTAGACAAGCTCTCAGGAAGGACTACTCATGTAAGGGTTTCATGGTTTAACATGCAACATTGTAAATCAGGAGTAAAGCCAATGGGGTTAACAGATTTAAAACTAGCAAAAGAAAAAAAATCAGCAACTACATCTTTGTTTTCCTTATGAAATAATTCTATTCAACCTCTGGCCATACAGAAATGTTGGATTTGGAAGGAAAAAAAGAAAAGAGAAAAAAGGGAAGGTGTTAAATAAAGTAAGGAGAGGAAAAACAAAAAAGCCAACTCCAGCCACTGATGCCCTTCCGTACATTTTGTGAGCCCAGTGCTCAAACAATGTCAGACTAGCTCGTCCTTCATTCTTTCGTTCCTCCCAGATTCAATCATGCCACTTTGTTCTAAGCCTTTAGCCTACTCTGGGCCAGCAGGTGGAGCAGCAGATAATATTTTCAAGCCTATTCTGAGCAAAGGAGCCCATCTTGTTCTTTCAGGAAGCTTCAGGAGGAGGGTCATAGCTCAGTGTGCAGCCAATCACTGCCAAGGCTGCCAGTTAACAGAGCAGAATGGGCTGTAGTTTAGTGAAATAGGAAAGCTGCAAAACAGTGTGGAGTGTTCCTGTTGTAAATAAAAGAAAAAAAAAAAGTTTCTCAAGTCATAGCTCTACAACCTTGACCAAGTACTAGCACTGGAGTTTGTGCTTTACAAAAAAATAACACATTGGACTTTATTGTGCTGCATTAACACCCTATTCCTATTGTTTGTATTTTTTTCAAAATATGGCAAAGGTTCAGGTGAACAATGTAGTGGTGTTGGATAATCCTTCTCCTTTCTACAATCCTTTTCAATTCGAAATCACGTTTGAGTGCATAGAGGATCTGTCTGAAGGTGAGTAGATTTTTTCCCAGTACGGATTTTATAACCCAGAGCTACTAGTTTCAGGTTTTAAAAGGTTTAAACTTTGCAAAGGCCTGCTTCTACTATTTAACAGTTTCTCCTTCTCTGC